TTTTTTTTTTTTTTCATGAAAAGAAGAAAATGCTCTTACGCATCTCTATTGATCCATATAGAATATAAAATATGTATAAATATTTGTCAGACATTTCTTATGCACTAAAAACTTTTTCTTGGCTGCAAAACAAACATAGTGAATCCATCACTTGCCGAGAATGTAAGAGCATTACTTTAGAAAGAGATAGAAATATTCGCAAGCGTTATTTTAAAACAGATCATTAAATAAAAATATCAAAATAAAATAATACTATTAAATAAATAATGATAACATTATATAATATTCGTCGTGCTACAGATATATAATTAATGATAAATAAATAAATAATATATGTGATGATAATGATATAAATAGATAAACAAACAGATAATAAATAAATATGTAACTAAATAAATAATTGTATATAATAAACAATGATATATTTCAGAAAAATTCATTTTGTAAATTATATTCGATCTATACATTTCGTTTACTTCCTCTAATGAATCTGTGCCTTTTAATATTTTTTTCTTCTTCGGTACGCTTCTTTTTATTATTCTCTAGACAGAATTCTCCAATTTTTTTTATTTCTATTTAGAAAGATTCTCATGAGATTATGTAATGATATCTCAATTCCAAAATTGTTCTTCAAAGTTTTCGCAAATCCAGCCTATATGAAAAGGACATCGGCATCGTCTCTTTCCACAATTTCAACACTTTTGTTATAAATTTCTCGATGTTAAAACAAAAACTATTAAAAACATGTTCTATTAATATTTGTGTCATAAAGAAGTCCAATTTCAAGATAAACTTTCACTTCATGTTTTAATTTATCTTTGGAAATCTCTTAGTTCAATTATATTGTGTAAATTCATTTATCAATAATTGATCTTCAAGTTGACACTCATAAGAAATATAGATTCTATCGAGATAAGCCAATCTACATAAATATGTAATCAAATCACGTATTCATATAATTGATTGAACTCGTTTATTAAATGCTACCGATATATCACATTTGCTGGAGTAGACAGCTTACTGCAAAGCATATCAACGTAATAGATTGATATCTCCTATCAAAGAATATGAGCTTAATATATGTGAGGATAGATTCAATTCTATCGTTATCTTATTTCTAACTTTTTCCATAGTCATAATAGTTTATCATTATTCTTGGGTAAAATCTGCAAATCTTTGCAATAGTCTTTTTATCAATGAAAACTGTTTTATCTGCTTCTCAGCTTATCCTAGTTTATGAGGATTTAACAATTTATTTAATAATCATATTTATATAATAATCATATTTCATCTTCTATCAAAACATTTGTTTCAATTTCTTTCTCAAGCATTTCTTAAGATCTCTCCCAAGAATTTTTATCTAATTATACATAAATTCCTTTCATGCTAATTTTAAATTTTTTTTTTAAATTTATATGGAATTTTTAAGATGCATTCTTAACATATTTCTTTTCTGCCTTTGCTACTTTTTTTAAAATTTTTTTAAATATATACATTATCTTTTTTCTTTATAATATTTAACTATAATTTCATTCACCAGTGTTTTATTATTTCCTTTTTTTTTATAATAAAGTTTGATAAACTTCATATAAGATCTCTATCTATTAATATATTCAAAATTTGATTATCATCTTATAATTTTTCATAATTTAATGATATTATAGATTATATTAGTTCAGGTTAGCTTAAGTTAGATTAGGTTAGGTTAGTTTAGCTTCCTTTTTTTTTAGATTTATATGAAAACTATTCATTCTCATATGAAGTCATATATCTTTTTCAGTATTCTTCATTAATGCTTTCCTAAGATTTTAATGATAAAATATCGAGAAAGATGCATTTATTGATTCTTCAAAATATGTTTGGTTTATTTTAATAGAAATTAAAAAAAAATCTATTTTAAATAATATATTTTCTGTACCGTAATTTGGTACAATATCCATTTAAATATGTTCTTATGCATTTCAAACAACACGAAATCATAATAAACTGACACAGAGAGTATCTTCATATATTTATTATATTTGATAATATAGTTATTATATTTGATAACTCAACTTGCTGCTACATCTTCGTCCATATTTCCAAATTAGGAAGAATGTATTTAATAAAGTTTTGATATTATATCAATTTTCAACTTAAAGATTTTTTGAAGTAACGAATTCTTATCAGGTAGCATTTATTCAATTTTATGTGTATTTTTCATAGTTGCCTCTTTTGATCTTTCATAATTATAATTAATATCTTTCATAATTGCCTTTTTAATATTTTCTGATATTATCTTTATATTAAATAAGCAACAATTTCACAATTGTTCTAAAGAAAAAAAAAAAAACACTTCTTAATGTAAATGTCATGAAAATGATATCATTTATGTTTATTTCCATCTTCATCTAATTTAAGAGATTTTATTTCGTATTGCACAAAAAATTGATTCGCCCCCAGGTGGGA